GAATCTGTGCATTATTCCATTCCTGCACCAGAAGGCTTTTATTTTGGGGAGGACAAACTAACTTGGTGAGAACTGCATAGTCACGCTAGCCTGAACCACCTTTCCCCTTGGTCTTGATAGAATTTTTGCTAAATTCACCATTACAACATTTAGCTCAAGTTAAAAGAGAATTAAAACCTCTATCTCCTTTCTTGCTCTGAGCAAGTAACTTCCATACACCTTCCTGAAGGAATGAACTGTACGAGACAAAAATGCCTGCTTGATTTTCCTCAAGATCCCAAGCATCAGGTCCTGTTCCATGCCTTTTACTGTGTGCACTTGAGACATGATGGACCTTTTTTCTCCTGCTGTTTAATAACTACACAGTTGTGCATCGTTGCTGTAACCCAAATCTTCAGACTTCCTGCCATCAACTCTGCCACTGACACAGTGAAGCATGAGTCTGGGAGCAGGTGAAGGCACATCATGCTCTATGACATACACCCCAAGGATGTGGCAAGTCCCTTAATGCCTGTACCTGATAACCTTATGTGGCCTTGAGAAATTCACTTAACTCTAGTGCTGGAGGACTCAAATATTTAGAATGTATGTGGTAATAAAAAAATACAGTATTCAATGTATTATTGTGAGGTGTATGTAACAGTGAATTTATCCCCAATGGTAAATATACTGAGGTTCCTACTTCCTTACTCTTTTGCATATTAATTTTAAAGCATCTAGTATAAAGGCATATATTTTAAATAGCTTTTAATTTTCTATTTGTTTTCACAGTCTTTGAAGGGGAAAAGGGCCAATTGCTGACCATCTTCGAAGAGTTACTCAAATTAGATGCTCAGTTACCCCAAACACATGCTCTGCTTCTGTTTTGGTAGGAAATCCTAAAGAAAAGCATTAGCAAACATTCCTCCCTATTATAAAGTTAGCAGAGTCAGTGGACCTTACACTAAGGATAATGAGTTCTCAATTACCTTCCACCATGGTTCCAAATATATATATTGCATAGAAATCTTACGAGGATCATGTCTGAAATATGGCATTAGCAATAGCCTTCCCCCAGCATCCCTGCCAGATGTTAGTCTTTAGGAAGACTTAAAGATGCTGTTGCTTTCCCAAGCCTTGAGAGATGCTCATTGCTCCTCTCCTGAAACGTGCTGCCCAGATGGCCTTTTGGGAGCTGGGTTTCCCACTGAACACAATGCAGAGGCAAAGCACCATTGCTAATGCAGTTTGTAGTCAGGCACACTTCCTTTATGACAGGAATGACTATAGTTAAGAAATGGTGTGGGAAACTCAGAGATACCCAAACTTCCATAGCCTTATGTTAGTAAGTGCCATCATGTATGGGCAGGCCAGCTTTGATAAAGAGAACAGCACGAGACAGGGGCTGAGCAGCCTGGGGCAGGGGCAGCCTGACTGTCAGGTGACCCCTGGCAGCAGAGAGAATCTCTTGGTCTCTGTCAATAACTCCAAGGACAGCCCTTAGCAAAAAAAGGGCTTTATTCTTCTGGGCAAAACTGAGGCAATGCCTGCCCTCCAGCAGAGGACCTACAAGCTGGTAGGAGGAAATAGGTCCTGTATTTAACCCCCCCCTATTTAAATTACAGCAAACAGCAATTCAGATTAACATGCCAGGGCAATTAAGTATTGGAGGAGCTTCCTTATCTGTTTGCAGCAGTTTCCATAAACATACAAGCAGCCTGACTATCATCAAGGGGCTGTATTTTCTGGGACATATTAAACAAATCTGGGGAATTAAAGAGGTAAGAAGAATATGTGGCTCAGAAATCTCAGGGTGGGCCAAAGCCACCCCTGCCATCTTCAGTGGGACAATTTTCTTTGGCCTTACTGGTGAGTGAGCAAGATTCTGCTCCTGCAGCTCTTTTCCCAGTAATTTCCTGCTAGCCTTTCCTCATGCTGCCACTCGGTAGTCCCCTGTTTGAGGCTGGCATAATTTCTGTTTGCCTGCATAGCTTCCTTCAGTTTTTCCCTTTTAGTCAAGGTTTATTTTCCCTTCATGAAGTTTTTCTAATCTGATTTTTCGTTCTGTCACTTTTTGCCCCCTCTGTCACAGGCAGATGTGGTTTGAGGACCGGAGTGTCTTACAGACCCGTGGACTGTGTGAGTGTGGAGTTTCTTCCAGTTTCCCACACTGCTCTTCTATTCACTGCATTCAGGCAGAGGATAAAGGAAGTGTGCCATGCTACAAGCTGAATTAGAAATGGTGTTTGACTTCCCTTTGTACTTCACAGAAACCTTGCTCTGGGTAGACCATCTGCATAGCACTCGCTGCAGAGAAAACCATTGATCAAGGCCTGTCAGCCCAGCTGGGGGAACTTGGGAAAGTAATTCCTTGTGCCACTTCAGTTCTTTGGGGCTTAACATCTGGCTGGAGGGAGAGGCGACAGTTGATGGTTTAACAGTCTTGCTTCCTTTCAAGTTTGGGATGCTGTTTTGATCCCTGATAAGCCTTTTTGAAATCCTGATTTTAATAACATGGAAAGCATCCAGAAGACTAAGAATAATGCTCTGGCTTTGCATTTTCAAAGTGCCTTACAAATACCAGCTAATGAATTCTCAGCAACCTCCTCTGAGATAAGGATGTATTATTAGTGATGTTTTACAAAGGAAGAAAAATAAGGCAGACAGGAGAAAACCAAAATGCCAATATTTCAAATAGCCTGCTGCCTGCACTGCTCCTATTGCCAAGTGGCCTATTGGAGACAGCTGGTTTGCAAAGATGCTTGGCACTTACTTTTGTTTTAATCAGCTTTTGCATCTCTGAATAGGAGCCAACTCCCTAGCTTACAGGAGAATTTGGATTACAAGCCCGACCACACTCACAGCCATGCACCACCTAGATCAGCAGATGCAAAAGTTCTCCTTTGTACTCCAGTTCAGTAGTGGTTTTTGAAAATGCTATTTAGTACAGTTTGCTCAAGCCCGTAGAAGATGCACTCACAACTTTGATCAGGAAATACTAAATAATCTATTTAGCAGAAAATAACTTGATCTCTCTAGAAAATAA